GAGTGCGCCCTTTTCCCTCTCCCGCACTCATATGACCTGCACTACGTTACACACGCGAGTAATACAAACCCTAAAAAGAAAATAGCCAATCAGAGAGCGCATTTTTGACTATTCCGAACACGTGCGGAAGAAGAAACTTGGTGACTAATTAAAAAATGTCGGAGACGAAATTTTACATATTACAAGTAACAATATATTGTTATCGTTATTGTCTCTAATATTAACGTTCTAACCCTAAATTTATATCTTTAAACACATCGTTACTTTTTGTGAATTGTGTTACTCGCGCAAATAAGTAAAATCGTGTAACTACTTTCATAAACAAAATAATAAAAATATATAGTAGTTATAATTCTACAAAGATAATTTTATTGAATTCCAAAACCGTATAAAAATACGAATGGTAAATTATAATCACAAGAGCTAAAGCCAGATTCAGCAGTAATAATTCTTTTTGTTTCTAAATATGGCAAACAATATAACCACTTAAAGGCAAACTCTATAGATTAATCGAATTTTCTATTTCTCAAATTATCTAATATCCGTGTATAACACGTAATATATTCATTGTCAAACATACGCTCATTACTAAACATCCGTAGACTAATAGAAGCACGGAAAGTATTTTTCTATAGTTCCATGGAGTATATTCATGAAATTTGTAATAAAAGATGCCAGGAAGAATGAATGAAACGGCGGTTGAACCCGTTGACCCGACAAAAGCAAGTACCTAACAGTTTATATAATAAATGAAAACTATAAGTTATAAATTAATTTAATAAAAGCAATAGAAAATTTATTAAGCTTACCAAATCTAATTTTGAAACTAGAATAGCTATTGTATAGCTACTTAACAGAAGCGCAACAGTCAAGAATATATATCTAACTTCTGAATGAGCATATACACGTGAGGATTTTGAAGAAATTGATTGTAATGAAAAGAGAGCCTTTTCTAAACAAGCACGAGCGGGATGGCATTGCAGTGGGTAGGAGAAAATTACCAAGATAACAATTGCTATTCGGCCAATTGTAATGATGGTACTTGTGTGGTCTGAAGACATATAAAAGAAATTTTAGATATTATATTAATTGAGAATTTTAGGTAGGAATTATTTTATATAAACTATGACTTAACCCTATAATTTAACCTTAAAATCTTAAATCACATAATTCCAATCTCACAACATATATATACAGTCAACTCTTTCTATAACGAACTAACGGTTCTGGAAGGAAAAAAAAGAGTTCGTTATAGAAAATTACTATGTTTTCTTAAGAACCCATGGCACTTTCTATACCGAACTACAATGGAATTTTAAAATTTTGGGTTCGTTATATCCAGAATTCGTTATATGGAGGTTCGTTATATCCAGAGTCGACTGTATATATATCAATGTACCTTAAAAAGTTAGTACATACACATTGCGATGATATTAGGCCAAACATCGTCTCCAAAACTCAAATAACCTAATACACCAATAATCTGATATATAATAGCAGAAACACCGATGGAGGTAAGGATTACCGAGTTAATATTAGTTTGAGCATTGTTTTTCAATTCATTGTATATTGAAAAAGTCTGTAGGATTAATAAAAAGGAACAGTTAAATAAATGAGAGAAATTAAGAGAATATATGAAAACAAAAGTAACATACATTTTGGTGACAAGTATAAGAGAATACGAAAATTGGTAAATTAGTTAAAAATTTTTCCGAAACATTGATAAAATGAATTTTATCCTTGGGAGGGGCTTCAAAATCAGGGCCAAAATAATGGTAAATGACAA